CTAGTACAAAGAAAAAGAAAGTGGCGTTATTAACTTGTACGGAATGGAGAAAAAGGCACTAGTCATTCTTGTTTGATATCATATAAGGGAAGGAGATTTGCTGAAGTACAATCTGTATGATTAATAGGTTTTCTCCTCTCTAATCTATGCAATTTTATATGAATCACTTTGTATTTGAATTAAATCAGTGATACTTGCATTTGAACAGCGAATTGGCCACAGCTTTTTTTTATTATCAAAAGAAGCCGTCCGGAGCAAATCAGATAGCTCTTTGAAGGACGGAAATGATATGACTAGCACATCCAACCTTTTTTGCTCTTGCATTTGAATCTTGAGCTTTATACTGCTAACTAGACTAGACCATTGTATTATTTGACAAGTGTTGTGTGCTTCCTTGGTTGGTTGTTTGGTTTTTGACATTAATGGATAAGAAAGGGCTCATGGTGTTCATGATAATGACATGTTTGGGTATTTATTCTGTTTGTTTTCCTTTTTCTCCCTCCCCCCCCCTAAAAATCAGACAAATGTACACAGTTCATGCAGAAAATGATGGTGGTCCTGCCTCCGGAAAGGGGAAATTCCTAAGTGTAATGGTAATGGTAATGAACATATAGGTTACAGTATCTCTGTGAATGACTGTATTCCTGCTGTGCATGATGTTGCTGGTAGAGATGGAGTCAGAATGCATCAGTTCTGTTGCATCTTTGCTCATGATGTGTTTTCTCGTCTGATTTAATTGTTTTCTGTCTTTTATTTAGGCTGATTGATGTGTTATTTTTTTTTCTTTCTTTTTTTTACTTTTGTTTTTGCAATACAGGAAATTAGGTTTTGAAACAACAAAGAGTAATGGAGCCCTTGATAAATGTTACTGTTATCAAAGGGTTTCAGTTCTATTATTTTACTGACAATTTTGAGATTTATTAACACATGGACTAATACTAAAATATAGCCACACACATGTACACACACACACACACACACACACACACACACACACACACACACACACACACACACACACACACACACACACACACACACACACACACAATTATTGTAACAAATAAAGTTATTTTATTTTATTTTTTTGTCTAGTGTGAGTAATCTGTTTGCCTTTTATAACATTATTGTTCTGGTAACTGAGCTAGCTTACACTTTAATGTCTGCTGAAAGTGCTTTGTCTTTTTTAGATATTAAACAACTGTTTTACCATGTCGGCAAGCTGCCCTTATGTGCCGGCAACTTACCTTGGGCATGTGTGCTTGTCTTTTGTTTTATGTTATGACTAGTTTTTTTTTCTGCCCGTCCACCCTCAGGAAATATGACAGTATCTCTTCAGAAGATTATGATGGTGGTACGACCAGTGAAGTCATAGGTATGATTAAACCATGTATTTATTTCATTCACTCTTCCCACTCACACACCAACTGCTTCTCTGCTCATGGTTTGTATATGTCATTCCATAAATGCACCTCTTTTGTTCTTGTTTTGCTCACCAATGCACCTTTTGGATTTTTATTATCACAATTATTCATTTTAAAATGAAGTTCTTATTGTAAAACAGTTGCAGTAAATTTATTTCATGTATGAATTCAATTCTTCCTTTTCCTTACTACCTCTTTGTTCCATCCAGTAACAAAAAATAAAGTCACTCATAAATTCCATCCACAAAGCAACATGAAAGAAACTAATGCCTTTTCCCCCCTTCTGCAGGAGCATTGGATGGGTTCATGCAGAAACTCATGATGGTTTGCAAACCAGAAAAACCAGCCAGCTTGTAAGGACCAAAAAAAAAAAAAAAGAAAAAAAAAGAAAAAAAAAAGAAAAAAAAGCATGAAGGAGGACGTGGGATATAATGGTGTAACTGCGCTCGGGACAGGCTGACAGGCGATAGCTTTTTCTATTTTCTTATGTGTTCGGTTGAAATTCAAAGGTTAATGATGGTTAGTTACTTACATCTTTACATTCATTGGAGATGTACAAAGTAGTTAGATTTTATAATCCTTGCTGGAAAACATTGCACAGAAAGATATTTACATTAAAATGCTAGGAATTGTAAGCAGCATATCATTATTTTTAGTTAGGATCTGTCCTTTTCCATGTTATTTATGTTAGAATGGATCTATTGGCAATACTTGTCTTTTAATATGTTGAGGATTTAGAAAAAATGTGATTCTTCACATATAGATTTACATATGACATTTAACCTGTAGTTGTGAACATACCGCATACTATTGAGTGTCGATGGTAGGCTCTCAGCCATATAGAATAGCACTGCTCTTTTGGTTAATGGTACTGAGGAAAGAGGCCTTTTAGACAGGAGAAAGGCATTTTAATCAGTATTGTTGTGGTGTAAGTTGGCTATGATAGCTAATTACCATACCACCAGTGAATAGAAGGAAAAACTATTTATTTTCCTTTTATGTTCTGTGTATGAGGGAACTTTTTAAATGTATTTTTTGATAAAATAAACAGTTCTTTTTTGTATGGAAGACAGAAACTCATTATAGCTTAACCTACTTTTAGTGCCATGGTCACTCTGCTCCTCGGGTGGAGAATTTTTTGCGAAGAAATGTCAGAGAGGAAATTTCATAATATAGTACGGAAGACATTTGTAATTTGATCGGAGTAAGTGTAGAGTGGATGTATTATTGGTTGAACAAAGACTTGTCTATGAAACTATATTATTTGTTGTTTTTGGGTTACATTTCAGGGATATTAATATCTAGTTTTTATTTTAAAATCCCTTCAGGTATATATATATATATATATATATATATATATATATATATATATATATATATATATATATATATATATATATATATATATATATATATATACACACATATACATATACATGCATACATACATACATATATGTATATATATACATGTACATATACATATACACATATTTTTACTTTATTTAGAATATTTTAAAGCCCTTGAAACAGATTTTGCTGTAATCTGTCAAATGTTGTGAGTAAACTCAACAAAAAGAGAGAGAAAAAGTGACATGGTAAGATTTCAATAGAATGGCTGTTGGTACAGAATGGTTTCAGTCATGATGTAAGAGTTACTGTGATATTTTTTTTTTCTATCTACTCATGCATGATATAAAAAAAGACTTGTTATTTTAATATAGAAGACTTTCAACATAATTTAGAGTTTCATTTATATATATGTATATATATATATATGTATATATATATATATATATATATATATATATATATATATATATATATATATATATATATATATATATATATATATTTATATATGTATATGTATATATGTATATATATATATAATATATATATAAACACATATAAATATATATATATATATATATATATATATATATATATATATATATATATATATATATATATATATATATATATATATATATATATATATATATATATATATATATATATATATATATATATATATATGTATATGTATATATATATATATATATATATATATATATATATATATATATATATATATATATATATATATATATATATATATATATATATGTATGTATGTATGTATGTATGTGTGTTTGTGATTTTGTCTTTTGTTAAATTGCTCAAGGTTCTTGGCATAATGTTTCATGCATTTAGAAAAAATAAATTTTAATTCCCTAAGAAGGGATAAACCTTCATTAGAAATAAGAATAATGTATTTAGGAATGAAATATTATCTCCAGATAGATTTAATGCATCATTCTGACTAGTTAAAGTTGAATCTCCCAACAAAAAGCAAAACATAAGATGTAAAAAAATCAAATCTTACATTTGGCTAATGAATTTAATATTAAACATGTGATCCCTAATGTCTTTTATTTGTTATACTGATGAAACTTGCACTGTATTTCTGGTTAGGTTTTAATAATGTTAGGAGTGTAACCATGACAGTTGAAAAGGACACGTTGATGACGGAACATTCATGACAGTCCAGGGAAGCTGAAGATAACTTGATCTGAACATCTTTTTACATTTATTTGGTTGTATTGTCATTTTTTAGGTTTTGAGGTAAACTGCATTGAAGTTATTCTTTCAGTGCATTTATTTCTGTATAATATGTTACTTCTTTAGTAAATGAAAGATGGGTATGTTTATATATATATATATATTACATTTTGTATATTGTTACATATCCCAGTTTAGTAATCCTTTGAAAAGATGTATAGTTTCTTTTTTTGGGCTATCACGTCGTAAACAGCTTTACATATGATTTTTATTTTATCATTTGATAAATAGTTCTCGAAATTACCTTTTTTTTTTAATGGGAACCATAAAAACACAAAGTTTGTGAATGCATCTTGCTCTGAAGATTAAAACGAGCTTGACAAAGATGCTTCACAAACTACATATTAAGCATATGTTCCATTTTTTTTTCTTTTCTTTTTCTCTCCCTGTCTTCTGTGTATGACTATGATAATCATTCTGTTCAGAATTGTTAATGTTTGTTCATAGTGGGACCATTGTTGAGACACTGAAGGATGTCAGGAGAAGTGTAGTGACTGTTGTAATCAATGTGATATATTTCGTGTTTTAGTAGAGAACCTCCTTACGAACAAGGGTAAAGAGAAACACATGTTAACCAGGTGTACTAAAAGATCAAAGCAAAGTCATTATTTTGTTTTTCTATCACATACCATGTAACAGTATATTCCCGTAGTACCTATATGGCTAGACTCTCAGTAACAAGGATTCTGTGTGTGTGTTTGTGAGTAAAGGCTTTTTGTTAGCATGAATATTGTTGTCATTATTATTATTATTATTATTATTTTTTTTTTCATTCATTGTATCATTATTATTATTATGTTATTATTATTATTATTGTTATTATTGTTATTATTATTATTATTATTATTATTATTATTATTATTATTATTGATAAATTTTTATTATATATTTTTTTATGTGACATATGAATGCAGATTTTATATTGGCATGATTTGTATAAAAATGATTTATGATTGATTTATGATATTCTGAAAAAATTATTTGCTTCCCTCCCCAAAAAAAAGAAAAGAAAAAAAATGGGATATTAGAATTCTGCTTCATATATCACTGTGTTAATTCCTGCTCCATTCTTATATCAAAATATCTCCTTTGTATATGAAGAGTAGGAATTACTCGTGAATGATACAGCACGAATGGGTGAATTTGATAAACGCTTTCCAAGGTTATAATTCGGGTGTATTACTGTACCGAGTCACTGTTGATTTCCTCATGGACTATTGTTTTCCTTGTAAGAATTGCGTCTAGCCACAGAGGTTTACTCACATTTTTGTTTCTGGATTATGGCAGAAAATTAGCAATAGAGTTTAAATAGAGACAAAGTGCCCTAATTTTTTGATAGTGTGAAGGGGAATTATGACTTGTGAGACATATGGCTCAGTATGAGATGCTGTTAAGAAGAAATAGAAGATGATTATTTTGCATGGAGTGTATGTATATATACGTATGTATATATTCACACACACATGCACACACACGCACAAGCACATGCACACGCACATGCACATGCACATGCACACGTACACGTGCTTACACACACACACACACACACACACACACACACACACACACACACACACACACACACACACACACACACACACACACACACACACACACATAGTGAACAATGACTTGCGTGTCCATAATTTAGTCATTTGTCATTCCTGGTGTGAAGTATGGTGTAGAAAGTTAACGAAGCCTCTAAAGTTGACCTTACCTTATTAAAAGATGTATTTTTCTCTGACAAATGTAGAATTGTTGCCAACAGAGCACAAATATCTGATATCTATTTTTTTTTCCTTTTGAGATGTTTAGACTATAGCCTAGATAGATATAAAACTCCACTGAAAGGTTACAATAGACAATTTATTCTCACAACAAAGAATCACTAGGACTAATATTTTTCAAAATAATCATCAGTAAATAAAAGAAAAACATGAACCATATATATCATTACATCATTTCTCAGGTTCATTCATATTTTAGAACTTAATGAAGAGTGTCTCATAGAAAAAATCTTTACTGGCCAGGTCATCACGCATAACTTTCCCGAAGTATAAGTGCAATTGAAGCCTGTCTTGTCTTCCAGCATTTTATTGCTAACTGCCTACGATTTATGATTATTATGAATTAGTCATTTTTAAAAATATCACATCAAACGTATGAGGAGATAGTAACTTCGTGTCCGTTTTATTGTTGATTTTGTTCATTCATTGTGTGATTTGTCCTTTATTTGCAAATTTCAGAAAGAGAGATAGAGGGAAAGAATAAAAAAAAAAAAATATCCGTAAATACGGTAACAGAAGACTAGACTTTTTTTTTTATCATGAACTCTGCCTAATGTGAATTTTCATTTCTTGGCTGTGGAAGAAGTATTTTAATTTGAGACACTGTATCGTATACATCATCTTTTAAAAGCATGAATTCTAATTTGTGATTCAATAACATCTGTCATCCTTCAGTGTATAATAATCCTAGTTATCTTAGGGCACCATTTGAGAATCACCAATTCTAACGAGCAAGATTAAATGAAGATTCCACTAATAACTTGATGAGAAAATTGATTGTGTGTGTTCTGCGTATCTACCTTGTTTTGGGGTAATTACATTTTACAAGTCTCGTAACGTAAACATCAGTCGTGTATATTTGTACTGTGGTGATTGAATATGACTTGCAGCTAACAGATTTTATATTTATTTTATCATTTACCTTTATACTATTTTTACTGTTAGTACTTTATACTATTATTCCATACGCTCATCTTTATCTCCACATGACAAATTGTGCCCTAACTATTGTGATTTCAATGTCTGTCATGACTCCAAGCTGCTCATCATTCACAGAAAGCTATGTTGCAAATTGTATTAATAGGTTTTCTTTGCATTTGAGAATTTGTATTATGATGAGGACCTTAAGAGGGGAATGCTTTCTTAGGTCCTGTATATATATATATATAATATAATATAATATAATATAATATATGATATATATGATATATATGATATATATGATATATATGATATATATGATATATATGATACATATGATACATATGATACATATATACATATATACATATATACATATATACATATATACATATATATATATATATATATATATATATATATATATATATATATATATATATATATACATATATACATATATACATATATACATATATACATATATACATATATACATATATACATATATACATATATACATACATTCATACATACATACATACATATATACATATATACATACATACATATATACATACATACTCATATATACATACATACATATATGTATATATACATATATGTGTATATACATATATGTATATATACATATATATATACATATATATACACATATATATACATATATATACATATATATACATATATATACATATATATACATATATATACATATATAT